TATATATATATATACATCTACTGCAAGGAAAGTTGGTTCTCTGTGTCGCGCCAGAAGGTTTTTCTCTCCTGAGTCCATCCTTCAAATCAACAAATCTGGCATTCGTCCTCCCACTGAATACTTTTGCCATTTACGGTCTGGTGCACCCGCTGTTCATTTCGAGGTTCTCGACAAAATCCAGAGACGGATATGGAATATGATAGGTCCTGACCTGGCACCTCGATTCCATTCATTTTGTCACAGACGTGATATCGCTTCCCTCTGTCTTTTCTATTTTTATGGTAACTGATCTAATGAGCTATTTCCACTGGTACCCCGACTGCATGAATTTAAGCCTTCTACTAGGTTGGCATCTCGGTTCCACCCTTGTCGAAACAGTTCAACGTAACCGCCTCTTCTACTCTAACATCTTCTGTCGCACTTCCCGACAGTGGAACTCCCTTCCTCTTACTTGCTTCCTTTATAACTATAATCTTCAAATATTCAGATGTAATATCAATCGACATGCTTTGATCTTGATCCCCGTCCTTTTCTTGATCCTCTTCTCAGACTCCCCCCTTTACTCTTATTTTCACTATCTGTAACTCCTTGCGTGCTAGTGGCACTCTCGCTTTGAATGGGGTGATATGCTCATATATATATATATATATATATATATATATATAAACGGAATTTTATTTAAAACAAGGGTTTCCATTAAAATAACGTTTGAAGTAAGTGGTTTCTAATGACTTCTGTCGTAACTAAATACTTATTGCATTTTGATGATATAGGTTTAGTCAAAGAAGTTTACATTCCAAAAGTGATGTTTTCAATGATATATATATACATATATATATATATATATATATATGAGTGTGTGTAACCCCGTTAAAAATAGGTTTAAGTAGTATCACTAAAATCTCAATTCTGTGCAAAAAAAAATAGGCTCACATAGAAATCGCCTCAATTTTGTGCAAAAATAGGATCAGAGAGCTTCAAAATTAAATTTCCACATTAGCATTTATTAACCAATAAGCGGCGTTATCTCAAACGCCAATAAAGCTTTCAAAAAACAAACGACCATTCTTCTATTTTGCTAAAATATTTGAAGAATTATACCAGAAAATGATTAACAATGTTTAACCTTTTAAAAATAGAAATAAAAAATTGGAAAATATAATATATTTCTTAATCAATGCAATTTAATTCTCGAAAAAATTACACAGTGTAATGACTTCTTGGCCATTATGTTTAGTCCAGATTGATATGAACAAATCTTAACCATTTTAGACAATTCCCAGTGTATTATTTTTTCACGTTTATTCATGTCTTCTTCTTCTTCTTCTTCTTCTTCTTCTTCTTCTTAAGATCAGAAATGGCATGATGACATTTTTTTACTGAGCATTTTTAAGGACCTTCAAAAAACAAAGAAAAAACACCAAGATCACACATAGTTTGCATAGATAAAACCCTTCATATGGTGTGGACTGTACTTGTGAGTTCAATCTTTCATATTTCTTTAAGGCATTGGCAACCAGAAATCCATTCAATGATATTATTGGAAACATTTCTAATCAGTCTGAGGGCTCCAACAACAATTGGAATTATTGATGACGTCATGTGCTACATTTTTGAGATTTCGATTTCAAGGTTCTTGTATTTTGACAGTTTTCTGAAGATCTTCAAATATACATTGCAGTCTGCAGGTACGGCCATAACAAGGCACATTTTGTTTTTCCGGCCTTTAATCATAATGTCTGGGCTATTATTATTATTATTATTATTATTATTATTATTATTATTATTATATTTGATGCTTTTTTACTTTATTCCAAAGAGATGACCAGTAACAATGGCTGGGAACTGACAACACGCCTCCGAAAATATCTTGTAAACATCTAAATGGTCGTCGTTGTCATCGCTGTCTTCTTTAAAACCAACACCACTGCCCTTCAGGCAAATGCTATTCACAGCTGGAATTGAAGTGACAAGTTCTCTAGACTATCCATGCGGTTTTAAATTCTTTTTGCGATGGTCTTTGGCATTATTCACCGGGCATAAGTTAGACACAATACACGCATTTAGAAGCCACAGGTTACTGCTCTCGAGCAAGGTTTATTTGTTTCTCTCTTTTCAGATTTATCCCATGTCTAACAAGTGCGGGCGCAACAAATATTTAACAATGTTTCCTTTCCTTATGTATGATTCGGTCCAGTTTCCTGTCATGATAAACGGATCTCTCCTGACTTCAAAGTCGAAAAATATTCTATTTTTTTCTACTGTCAAGGACGGCTTCAGCTTACTGCTTAGGGATGGTTATGATGAACGCATTATTTATATATTTATACTGATCATATATATATATATATATATATATATATATATATATATATATATATATATATAAACAAAAACTTTGAGTGGGTCGCTAACGGAAGTAATAACCAGGATCTAAAAATAAAAAGAACGAACGGAAATGAAATTAAAAACATTTGGGACATGTATATCGCCACACGCA